AGCACCACATAAGCAAAAAGAAAAAAGCCGGAAGTGGCGCTGTGGCTCAAGTGGTAGAGCGCTAGCCTTGAGCAAAAAAAAAAGCTCAGGACAGCACCTAGGCATTGAGTTCAAACCCCATGATCGAAAAGAAAAAGCCATAGAGCCAGGTGCCAGAGGCTCATGCCTATAATCCTAGCTATTTAGGAGGCTACAATCAGAGAATTGAGGTTCTGAGCCAGCTGAGTCAGACACATTCAAGACTTTTATCTCTAATTTGCCAGCAAAAAGTGGGAAGTAGAGATGTGGCTCAAGTGGTAGAACTCCAGCCATGAGTAAAATATCTTTGCAAGAGGGCAAAGCCCAGAGTTCAAGCCCCCTACTAGAAATAATATAAAAAATAAAAGGATATAGAAACAATTTGAAGGAGTCTTCTTATTATTATATTTGGAGATTTTTGATCCTCAAAATGATGAAAACATGCTGGATGTGATAGCATACACCCATAGTCCATGCAACTCAAAATTCTGAGACAGGAGGATCACTTAAACACAGAAATTTGAAAAGAGTAAGGAGGGGACAATGATGGTAACAAATTACACACCACTGAATTAAAAATTATGAGAACATATTGACATTAATAAACACCAAAATAAGAAGAGAAGGAGGGAGTGGGGGGGGATGTTATTACTTCCCTTTGAAGAAAATGGAAATATTTCACACTTAGAAGGAATAAGAGAATTAGAACATGGCTTTTTAAATGTATGCTCATATAAAACAAGTTTTTGGCAACTGTGATATTTATTAGTAACTGGTCAGTCAAAAAAGAAACAAGGATACTGAAACAATTTAGTGAAAATGTGATGAAAATATGGTTATACACATAGCTTCAAAGTGTCTCCCCATAAGACACACAGTAATTACAAAGGGAAAAATAGTAACAAGTAATGTAACTTAATGGCATCAGTAATGAGACAAATAGACCAATCAGCATCATATACATGAGGAAACCTCAATAAATACAAGAACAAAATATTCTATATGTATTGAACAAAATAAATTGCCTGTGTTCTTTGAAAATGTTAAAGGCATGAAAGATAATGAAAAACTAAGAAACTGTTTCAAGGTAAAGAAGTCTAAAGAGAACACAGCAGCTATATCCACGTTGGACTGAATCCTAGACCAAAATTTTTCTTTTAGGGAGACAGAGAAACAAAGAGATTAAAGGTTACTATTAGATCAACTGAAATTTTTTTTTGTTTTTGGGGTTTTTTTTGGGGTCCAGTTGTGGGGCCTGAACTCTGGATCTGGGCGCTGTCCCTCAGCTCTTCAGCTCAAGGCTAGCACTCTACCACTTGAGCTATAGCGCCACTTCCGGCTTTTTTCTTCTTGCTTATGTGGTGCTGGGAAATCGAACCCAGGGCCTCAGGAATGCAAAGCAAGCACTCTACCACTGAGCCACCTTCCCAGCCCCCAACTGAAATTTTTATGAGGCCTGAGATTGGAAAGCAATACTTAATCAAATTTAATTTTATGATTGTAATTATTGTGTCCCGATTATGTAGATGACTGTATTAAACCAGACAAAAACTATGATGCTTAGAACTTACAAGATAAAAAATATTATGTGTACAGATACAGAAAAATGTAAAGCAAATGGAAAAAAATGTTAGTATTTAAAGATTATAAATGAAAAATGTATGAGAATAAAACTTTTCTAGATATCTGAAATTACTTCAAAATGAAAATGTAAAGAAAAAAAAAAAGATGACACAGTGGCTTTCACTATGATCCTAGCTACTCAGAAAACTGAGATCAGGAAGAGTGGGCTTCAGGCCAGCCCAAGCAAAAGTTTATGAGATTTTACCATAATGGAACTTGTGTGATGCTATGTCTACACCTAAGCTATGGATACTGGCACAGTCAATATAAGACTATTAAAAATAACCAATGCAGCTGGGCAAAAGTGGCTCACACCTGTAATCCTCGAGAGGCTGAGATCTGAGGATCACAGTTCAAAGCCACCCAGGCAGGAAAGTCTATGAGACTCTTATCTCTAACTAACTACCCAAAAGCCAGAAGTAAAGCTGTGGCTCAAGTGGTAGAGCACTAGCCTTGAGCACAAAAACTCAGCGAAAGTGCCTAGGCCTGAGTTCAAGCCCCAGGACTCATATGTACTCATCATTTAACTTTCAAATCAACTCTGTGATTTATACATTAGTATCATCATTTACCAAAATAAAAAAAGGAAACTAAAGATAAGAGAGTTAACTTGCTCAAAGTCACAGAGTGTAAATCAGAGCTCATACCAGAATCTGAATAGTTGATTCATTGAGTCATATGACTTAAGGTAACCATGCCATAGAAAGCAACACAAGCACAAAAAACAGAACAGATACAAAGCAATTTGAAAACACAAAGCCCAAATGGAAGAATGCTTAGAGTAATTTATCAATCTGTTGCCTTCTCAGATCCATAGGAAATGGAACAATTCAGCAATACACTTTCACCTGAAATATTGTTTGCCACATGTAGAAGACATTTAATAGGCCACCTAGAAGAATTCCTGAGTCTATTGCCTCTTAGGATCAATGTTTGTTTTGGATCCTATTAATTCTGAAAGTATTTACTCTGCCACCAATATCCAATATCTAATATTCTTCTGAGGGCTCACCTCTTGCTCTGAAATCTTCAATGCAATGTCTTGTCGGGCATCTTTGTCCATCTTAGAACTGGCTGGAGACTGAATTCGTTTGACCAGTCTCTGTTCACAATCTTCCAGGCGTAGCCGGATATTCTTTAGCTCTGAGATGTATATCTTGGCCACAGTCTCTTCTTTGTCCTCTGCAAATGCACAAACCCAGAAGACCACTAAGCTCCACATTAGAAATCTACCTTACACAGAGAACACCACTGGTTCACCAGCTATCTCATGGTCTTATTGAGAGAACTTTATGCCTGACTCCACACACACACACACACACACACACACACACACACACACACACACACACACACACACACACACACACCATTCTCCATGGATTTCATCAGGTGCTGGAAGTGGGCTTTACAAGCTTCCACCTCCTCTTCTAAGCGCAAGCGATCTGCCACTGAGAAGAGTGCAGAATCACGACTGTCCTGCAAGAAGTCTTCATAATGGGTCTGGAGGTTCTTCATAACCTGGTGGCATTCCCCTGATGCTGAAGAGCGAAGCTAGAGAAAAGCCAGAAGAAATTTCAAAGAATTGTGAACATAATACCATAATTAATTAACCATACATAATGGCTCAATCTAATACACATGTAAAACCGTGAATAAATCATGCCAGGCGCTGGTAGCTCACGCCTGTAATCCTAGCTATTCAGGGGGCTGAGATCTAAGGATCATGGTTCAAAGCCAGTCCAGGTAGGAAAGTCTGTGAGACTTTTTTTTTTTTTGGGGGGGGGGGGTCCGGTCGTGGGGCCTGAACTCTGGGCCTGGGCACTGTCCCTCAGCTCTTCAGCTCAAGGCTAGCACTCTACCACTTGAGCCACAGTGCCACTTCTGGCTTTTTTCTTTTTGCTTATGTAGTGCTGAGGAATCGAACCCAGGGCCTCAAGTATGCAAGGCAAGCACCTACCACTGAGCCACCTTCCCAGCCTGTCTGTGAGACTTTTATCTCCAATTAACCACCAGAAAGCCAGAAGTGGCACTGTGGCTCAATTGGTAGAATGCTGAAGAACTCAGGGACAGTGCCCAGGTCCAGAGTTCAAGCCCCACAAACGACCAAAAAAAAATCATAAATCAAACCTTGATTTCAAAAAACAAAACTTACCCATATAACCAACATTATCAGCAACCAGAAGCATCCTTTGTGCTTCACTGGACTCCCCCTGCACCCCCGCCCCCCCCCCCCCCCCCCCCCCCCCCCCCCCCCCCCCCCCCCCCCGACAGGATCTTACTATGCATCCAGACTATCTTTGAACTCATGATGCTCATGAGCAATGGGATTACAGCAATGCAGGAGCCCAGCCTGGCATAACTTGTTTTTGTTTTTGCTGGTCCTGAGGCTTGAACTCTTGGCCTGGGCACTGTCCCTGAGCTCCTTTTGCTAAGTCTAACACTCTACCATTTGAGCCACAGCACCACTTCTGGCTTTTTCTGTGACTTAATTGGTGAGAAGAGTCTCATAGACTTTCCAACCCCGGGCTGGCTTTGAATTGCAATTCTCAGATTTCAGCCTCTTGAGAGTAGCTAGGATTATAGGTGTGCGCCACCAGCACATTGCTTGACATAACTTTCTTTCTTTCTTTTTTACCAGTCCTGGGGCTTGAACTCATTGAACTCAGGGTCTGGGTGGTATCCCTGAGCATTTTTGTTCAAGGCTAGCACTCTACCACTTAGAGCCACAGCACCACTTCTGCCCTTTTCTGTTTCTGTGCTACTGAGGAATCAAACCCAGGACTTCATGAATGCATGCTAGGCAAGCACTCTACCACTAAGCCACATTCCCAGCCCCATGCTGATTGTTAGTTGACGAGTCTTCATCTACTATATACTCTTATAATGTTCTCTTCGCCAAAAATGTTACTACTTATTTCTGTTACAATTTTCCTTAACCACTCAAGCTGCTAATTCTAGATGCTAAGAATCTCAAGTTCCTAATCCTGAAACAATATCCCTAAGATCATTTTACTCCATCTGGCCTGGAAGAAATTTTAGTAATGAAAAAAGCTCCTTCTGAAAAAGCTTTCCAACAGGATATAAGTCTGAGGTCATAATTTCATACATACCTTTTCTAGGTTCCAGGTTTGTACAAGGTCAAGATCCTTTCTCAAATAGTTCCAGGAGATAAGGCTTTTGGTGTTAACATGCAGTTGATGCCAAAGAGCCATCACTTTCTGGTATGACTGTTCCACCCTAGAAAAAATAGAGAACCTAGCTAGAGCTTTTGTGAGGCTGGAGCTTTGCAGTAAAGACATTTTAGGGAAAAACAGCTACTTAGCAGAACTATGCTCCTATGCTAACCAAGAGAAAAGCAACAAGTTCTGACAGCACAGAAATCTTCAGAACTGAGACCTTCAATTTGGATTTGCTTTGGTATTATGTACACTATGCTATTACATATTTAGCAATTTCAAAAATGTTACCTGAATGCAGAAGAATTACAAAAAAGAAGAAATAAAGTTGGGTGCTGCTGGGATGCCTATAATCCTAGCTACTCAGGAGGTTGAGATCTGAAGATTATAATTCGAAGCTAGCCCAGGCAGTAAAGTCCATGAGGCTCTTATCTCTAATTAACTAACAAAAGCTGGAATTGGAGCTGTGACTCAAGTGCTAGCCCAAGTGGTAGCCCCAGGACTAGTATACAAGAAGAAGAGGAAAGAAAGGAGGAAAGGAAGGAAGACAGGAAGTATGGAAGGAAGGAAGGAAGGCAGGGACTAGAGAAGAAATAAGCTAGCAAAAAAATAACCTGGAAGAAAAGGATAGATATAATGACTCTATTTGGATTGTTGAAAAATGATACTGAGGCTTAAAAATTGATTTGCTGTGCTTTATATAGCTAGAAAAATGCTAAAATGCATATGGGTAATTAGTATCTTAACAAGTGCACTGGATCAGGGCTTGAGAAAATTGTTTTCCTATGCATTTCATGCCTGATTTAATGTGAATGTCTAGAAGTTCTGTAAACACAAACAACTAAGTTATCTTAATTCCTTGTTGAAAAGAAAATATGAGATATACATAAGATGGAAGGCTAGGAGTCAGGAAATCAATTAAATAAGAGACATTAAACCCATTAATTTTTCCTTACTCCAAAAATTCCACTGAAATTTTAGCAAAATTGGGAAGCACATTGTTTGCTAACATTTTATCCATGAAAGCAATGACAGAATAGGGTGGTGTGAGGAGGTATGAATGATTAAAATAATTTAAGAGATAAATTAAGAAAAATTTCCCAAGCTCTGAGCAAAGTTTTCAGTTTATGTTCATTCACACAGAGGAGTCTACAGGAGTTTTCAGCTGAGTTCAGTGGCTCAAGCCTATAATCTTAGCTTCTTGGGAAATAAAGACAGGGGATCACAGTTTTTTTTTTTGCGGGGGGGTCCGGTCGTGGGGCCTGAACTCTGGGCCTGGGCGCTGTCCCTCAGCTCTTCAGCTCAAGGCTAGCACTCTACCACTTGAGCACAGCGCCACTTCCGACTTTTTTCTTATGTGGTGCTGAGGAATCGAACCCAAGGCCTCAAGCATGCAAGGCAAGTGCTCTACCACTGAGCCACCTTCCCAGCCCCGGGATCACAGTTTTTGAGGCAAAAAGAAGTTTCAGAGACTTCATCTCAACTAATGGCTGGGTACAGTGCCATGTACCAAGCTACAAGAGAAGTACAGTGTTTGGGCACAGTGGCACATATCTCTCACTCCAGTGACATGGAGAAGCACAGGTAGAATTGCGGCCAGACCAGTCCTAGCATAAATCGAGACCCTATCTTGAAAATTACCAATGCAAAAAGGAGATGGTGGTGTGGCTCAAGTGCTAGAGTAGTTGATTAGCAAGTGAAGCCTTGAGTTCAATCCCCAGTACAAGTAATAAATAAATAAATATAGGAGTCTTTCAGAGAATATTTTATTCAGAAGGTGGGAGTAGCAGACTTTCACATGATGAAAATATAAGTGGGGCTATGAATTTTTCATGATCAGTAATGATATTCACTATAAACAGTAAATTTTACTATTAAATAATTTTTGTTTTTGGTTGGTTGTGGGGCTTGAACTCTGGGCCTGCGCTGGACTCTGCACCGTCCCTGCGCTCTTCAGCTTAAGGCGAGTGCACTACCTTGAGCCACAGCACTGCTACCAGTTTTCTAGTGGTTTATTAGAGATCAGAGTCTCACTGGCTTTTCTGCCCGAGCTAGCTTTGAACCATGATCCTCATGTCTCAGCTTCCTGAGTAGCTAGGATTACAGGTGTGAGCCACCAGCGCCCAGCCTATTATATAATATTTAAAGGAGAAATAAAGAATGAAAATGGCATTACACATCTCAACAAAATTCCTAGAAGGTATAAGACAATAAAGAACTTCCTTTAAGAATGAAAATTTCCAAGAGCTGGGAAGGTGGCTCAGTGGTAGAGCGCTTGCCTTGCATGCCTGAGGCCCTGGGTTTGATTCCCTAGCACCACATAAGCAAAAAGAAAAAAGCCGGAAGTGGCACTGTGGCTCAAGTGGTAGATAGAGTACTAGCCTTGAGATGAAGAGCTGAGGGACAATGCCCAGGCCCAGAGTTCAGGCCCCATGACCTGAAAAATTTTTTTTCCAAGAAAAATAGAGCTAATAATTATAAAAGAAGGACGTTTCAGATATAAAAAGATTCAAAACCTTTCTTTCCCATGCAGTCTTTTCCAGTTAGATTCTGAAAAATGTACTTAACCAAACCAGGCAGTAAGCCAATAAGTACACCTTGTAATTTAGGAGTCAGTCAGTCCAACATCAAAGAGGCAAAGTATATCCCAGATTACTGTGAAGTAAAATGCCAGAAGTAATACTGCATCAGGTCTAGAGAACAGGTCTAGACTGGGAAAGGAGACAGAATAGGCCATAAGAGATGTTCCCAAAATAAGATAAAACAACTGTAGTGTTTTGTTTTATTGAAGAAATATTTTCAGTAAAGGGGGAGAATTTGGAGATATATACTAATATGCATAGAAAAGTAAGTAAACTAAAAAGGAAGTTAATGAAACCATTTGTTCATACACATATTTGCTAATCTACTAGTCACTATTGCATTCAATAAGCATTTATTGACTATCTACTGTGTACCATGAGTGGTTCTAGATGTTCCAGAGGTAAACAAAACAAAAATCTCAAACAGGAGAGAAGTCATAAATAAATATAATCCACCACATGGCATTAAGTATTCTAAAGAAAAAGAAGGACAAAAAAGAAAGAGGAAGGCAGTGAACAGGGATGATAAAATGATCCAAATGAAGTGAGGGAATGAATTGTGTAATCATATGAAGGAAACAAGAAATGTAAAATTCTGTGGCAAGAAAATGCTTGCTGTATTTGAGAAGCAGGAACAAGAGTAGAAGCAGCACAGTTAAGTATGAGCAAGGATAAGAGGTGAGATAGTGATGCATCACAATGATCCCCTCAAGTACTAGGCTAGTTAGCTTTGTTTTATTATAAAACAAAGAATCAGTGTAACATAGCTACTTTTAGAAAAGGAAGAAAGGACAGGTACACGAGTCTGACTGTGGAAAATGCTATCTGTTAATTTCCTGTAGTAAGAAGGTAGTCAATGGAGAAAAGAAAGTAAAGAAAACAGAAATTAATATTTGCGAAGTTGAAAAAAATCACAAGACAGCAGAAAAAAAATCTTATTTAGGAACTTGGAATTCAAACTTGGAAAAATCTGCTGAAAGAGTTAAACATAGTTGACTAAATGAAGAAGAATTCTGGGTTAGAGAAGGTGACTGATTTATTTAGAGAGACAGGGCCTTGCTTTATTAACTAGGCTAATCCCAAACTCTCACCCTCGAGTAATCCTCCCACTTCAGCCTCCAGAGTACTTGGGACTACAGTCTTGTGCCACTATGACCAGATACTTAAAAAAAAAAAAAACTGGTACCTGGACCTCAACTCAGGGCCTTGCTGGAATCCCAGCTATAATAGAGGCATAGACAGTGAGATGATGGTCCAAGGTTGGCCTTGACCGATGAGAAAAATGAGAAACCCTATCCAAAGAATAACCAAAGGAAAATTTTCTAGAGATGTATTTTAAGAGGTAGAGTGCTGTCTAATAAGTATAAGGCCCTGATTTCAGACCCAAGTATTGTATCTCCCCCAAAACACACCCAAGTAAGCTGTTATAATCAAGATTTGTTTTTTCTTGGTGCTAATACTGGGGCTTGAACTTAGGGCCTTCCACTTCTTAGCATTTTTGTTCAAGGCTGGCACTCTACCATTCTACTTCTGGCTTTTTGCTGGTTAATCAGAAGAGTTGCACAGACTTCTCTGCCCAAGCTGGCTTTATTCCTCAATTTTCAGATATCAGCCTCCTGAATTGCTAAGATTATAGGACATAAGCCATTAACACTGGCAAAAACTCTTTCTTTTCCTTTGCTCAGGACTCTACCACTTGAGCCACACCTTTAGATCTGCTTTTTGCTGTTTAATTGAAAATGGATTTGCCTAAGCTGGCTTTGAATCTTGATCCCTCCATATATTAGCTTCCTGAGTACCTAGGAGCCACCAGTACCTGGATAATAATCAAGGATTCTTTTATTTTTAATTTTTGCCAGTCCTATGGTTTGAACTCAGAGCCTGGGCACAGTCTCTGAGCTTCTTTTGCTAAAGGATAGCACTCTACCACTTGAGCCACAGCACCACTTCTTGCTTTTTTTTTGTTGATATGGTATTGAAAAATCCAACCTAGGGCTTCATGCATGCTAAGCAAGCACTCTACCACTAAGCCACATTCTCATT